CTCCCGAGGCTCGGGGTCTGTGTCCCGTTCACACTGGCTCAGCCGAGTTCAGGGCACCGGAGCGAATTCAGTCTTGGTCTAAGGAAAAGCGGACCGGTTAATTTGAGGATGTTTGCACAGTTACTGCTAAACATGGTTCTGAAAGTTGCTGGAGGGAAAAAAGTCTTCCAAAAGGCTTGCAGTAAACTTTGAATGTTCTGTTATTTTGCAGGGTTTGGGTGTGGAAGAGAGATTCCGGTGATCTCCTGAAGGTATAGCTTGTCACTACAAAAACATTCACTTCTTCTCCAAAGCCTTTCTTCTCTCCTTTACTCTCATTTGCGCCGTATTTGAAGAAAGTACGGAAAGAAAACATTGTCTCAAACACAGAGTGAATCAGTGTAGGAACGAGTGTTACACCTCAGCACTGAGCAACACAGGTTGTCCTTGGAAGAAACGAGTGACAGAGTTTAGCCAGAAATAACTAATGGCGGGTTCACCATTAGATCAGCTTTGTGGTGTTGCCCACCTTTCTTTTGGCTACTTGAAACTGAGGCAGCAGGCACAGTAGGTGCTTGCCAGGGCTTGCTCCGTGAAAACCAAGGGGTGCTGGCCCTGGAATCCACCTCATGACGCTTTCATGTGTGTCACTGTGGGGACATTGCTACTCCAGGCTGAGCACATCGGTGTGGGGAGCCGCTCTGACTCTTAACGCCGCACGTCTCACCTTGGGTGGCAAATGGAAACGGTTTCTTGCCTGCTTTGAGCGCAGCTTTGCTATCCCCACAAGCCAAATAAGATCTGTGTTACTTTTGGTGCAGAAATCACAGTACAAGTGAAGAAAAAAACAGTCCCCTGACTTTGAACTCTGATAATAACCATGTATCGTCATTTTTCTTAAAAAAATCCATTCAGATTTGACATTTGCATGCCTTGGTAGGGTAGCAAGAAGAGCAAAGATGTCATTCTCATTTTGCTACTGCGCTCCGTGACAGCAATTTTGCTTGCTTACCTCTCCCGAAAAAGAAGTGTGAACTTCTGATGAAGGGTACAGAAGCAGTTACAGCAGCCCAAGTGAAAGATGTCGTTAAGATGCATTTGCACATTTAAGTTCCGTATCGGTCCCGTGCTGGTTGTACCTGCGCGGTGCCTTAGCGGTCTGAGGCCCCGGGCAGTTTATGTGTCGCAAATACACGTACCTGGGAGACCGAGCCAGGGTCTGGGCTGCGCACAGCTGTGAAGTCTGTTGAAGCCTCCTGCCGTGCTGATGTCGGAGCCTCTGTTCTGATGGGTACTTGTCATTTTGGGAAGTTGTTGGTAATTTCCTGGAATGAGCTCTCTTTTCCATTTTATTGTCGCTCCGATCTGTCACAGAGCACCCGGTGATAGGGTTATGGTTTGTCATTACCTCCTGAGGCAGCAAAGAATGTGTTTGTTGCTGTATTTTCAATGCAGCCTTTGTCATAAAGTGTTAGATTTGGCATTACTGCAAGGATCGAGCAGAGACAAGGAAAATAAGGCAATATTTGGAATTCGCTGGTGATTTGCAGTGAGGATAGTGCACATGCCTGAGGAGTCATGTTTACAAAGGATGAAAAAGTTCTTTTTTGCGATTCATTTTTGTTTGTTCGTTTGAGAGTTTTCTCTTTTAAGAAATCTCAATACTTGAGCTTAGGTGGAATGCACGTTTCAGGTGGCGAGAGGCAGAGCGAACATGGCTACTGTCTGCACTCTGAAAGATTTTCAGAATTGAAAAAGTAAGAGCAGCAGAAGCAATGAGGTTAAGCGGAGGAGAGGAGGAGTTGGTCAGGAGAAGGAGGGCATGTGAAGCGGGACTGGCCTGGCCATCTTACCGGCCCTTGCCTAAAGCCCCTTCCGCGCCTATGCTACACCTCAGCGTCCCAAGCAGCTCTGGAATTTTGGCTGAGGACGCAGCTGCCTGCATGCAACGTGGAGGTTGCTGTGGGTGTTCTGGTTAACTTGTTCGTGCTCTTCTCCCCTGCCCGCGCGTCGCCATCAGCACCTCCCCTCCGACGGCGCTGTGCTGCTGCCGCCAGCTTGTGTTCCTTTATCACGTGGGGGATGTGGGCTTTTTAATGGACCAGGTGAAAAATGCTGGCCAGCAGTCTTTGTAAACGATGTGGGAGAATGGCCTCCCGCCATTTCTAACCGTGGCCATCTCAGGTTTTGTTCACAAACAGTTAAAGAAATTCAGATAGCTGTGGGTTTTTAGCTTTTTTATAACATCATTAGCCCTTTACCTGAACTGTTCTTACTTCAGGCCTACCAGAGGGGCAGTCAGGTGCTTTTGAGGAAAGTTGGGCTCTGGGTTCAGGTAGGAATGGGATTCCTCTCGCTGGAGGCACAGTGTTCTCCCGTGGCTGAGGGTTTGAAGTTTGGGTTGGTTCTTTTTTAAAATAAGGCAGGCCAGTTCCACAGTACTATGCATCAGTGTGTTACGCTCTCTGCCGCCTGTGTTGCCTGCCAAATCAGCTAGTCTCTGCAGGACTATTATTTTTAATGTGGGTTTCACGCTCAGACAGGAGGGATGTCTCTGTCATAGCCTGGCTGGTAGCAAAGAGGGCAACTGCCCATAGTTTAAACCTTTCACTGGTGGAAGGAAATCTACATTGCTGAAGGCTGGCAGTCAGATACGTCTTTCTCTGAGTATCCGTACGAATACAGTAAGAGACTGCTTCACTTAGTCTGAAAAACAACACAGCTTTGTCTGTCGAGCTGCCCTTTCCTAGAGGCGCTGGTTTTGTCTGCTTTGACTCCAGACACCCAGAACAGGGTGTTTCTCACTCTGTGATGAGAAGGTGGGGCACAGCTATTGCCTGGGCTTGAGGGTGGTGAACAGTGGCACAAGGTGACTTCAGACTGTGTTCTGATGCTGGTGTTTGATGTTTCTCGTTTGGCAGTGGCCTGCCATACATGCGGAGCAAGAGGAAGAGCCCTTCGTCATTCCAGTCGTGCGTGGAACCGAGAAGAGGAGGAGGAGCTGTTGTTTGACCAGAGCTTCTGGGGAGGACAGATCAAAGTAAGTGTAGTGCAGTGCTGCCTCTTCCTACGCTTGTCTTAGTTATGAAGTGTCCATGAATCAGCTCCTCGGGTGCTCCTTGACGTTCGTGACCCAGTAGTCCTGTCTGGCTGCATGCTTTCCGCAATGGTCATGTACTTTGTGTAGCTGCTCCCAGCAGGTGACAGAATGGGAAGGAGAGAGTGCTTGAATTAAGTTGCCTTTTTGAGTGTCACTAAAGTTGCGGCATGCTTCAGC